AAGGATGTTCAATTTTATGTTTCTTGCAAAAACCAAACCCATAGTACATCACCTATGATTTCCAGTTTCTGTTCCTTAATTATGGGAAGACATTTCACAAACATTTGAAAAGCAATTTTACTGCAGAATCTTTCTAGGTTATTAGGATTATTTTTTTTCCTAATCATTTAAAATTATTTCACCCTCACCTATTTCAACTGTAATTGATGTTGGCTACTTGTTTTCAAAGGAGCCAACTGGTTCTCATAAAAACCCTTTCACCTTCAGACTTCACCAAATGTTTCATTAAACTATGTAATTACAATATTAAGCACAACTACCATTAATAGTTTCTGAGGTACAAACAGAAATGATCCTTAGTAAGTCTACAATAACTGGTCCGAATAAAAAGTTCAAGAGTAAACGAGAGTAGTCTATTGCTAGTAATGTAGCGTGGGCATCAGTCAGTAAATTCTACAGAGAGAATGAAGTTCAGCATTTGTTTTCACAAGCAGGTTTGGCAAAGTCAGGTAAGAGAAATTCTCCCAAGACTCTCTCAATAGTCACTGCCTGTCTGCCCACCAATCAGCCCACCAATAATTCATATATAGCAGCAACTTCTGAAATGAAGAAAGGAGTTATACCGTATCTACTATGTGCCAGGCAATCACATTGCTTGCCACATTGCTTGCCACTTCATATAAATTTTCTCAATTTTGGTGAAGAAAATAATGACAGAGTAACGCCCTTCCTTTTTTTTCTTTTTTCAAAATCAACTATCAGCTAAAGAAAGTAGTTCCAAGTAACATAAAATCATCTAACTAAATGTAACAAAATTTAATATAGTTTCAATCTGACATTGCTACACAAGAAAAAAAAAGCATTACAAATCTATTAATAAAAAGAACATCATGAGATTTTAACTAATTACCACTGAAAGCTATAAAAAATACAGAAATGATTTAGCCATAATGTTCATTAAACTATAACTATGTAATATGTCATTAGTAAAGAAAATGACTTAGTATGCTTTATTTTCCAAACACATAAACATTTCAAGTTCGTTATTAAGAATTCTTTCTCGTAACTAAGAAGATAGGTGGGAAGTGCAAGAGAGAATATCACCAATCACTTACTGTGGTCTAAGAACAAATTAGTATGTACTTTCCTCAAGTTCAATAGTAAGAGGGAACCCCAAAATTTACTGTTTCCAAATCTCAGCTTGAGAAGGGAGCTAGGAAAAGAAAAATGTTTAACAGTGAAATTCACTGTCTCTGAAAGTTATCTATCCCCACATGTATCTCTCTTAATCTATATATTCTGAGTAGTTCAGAGGCCCTCCAAAATCAATTCACATTAACAGACAATACACATTTGGTTTCCACACATTAAGAATCCCAAGTATGATCCTGCAGATCAGTACAAAGAGGGTGCTGTGAGGGAGCTTAAGTTACCAGAATCATACTGTTTGCTATGTAGGCTCCCTACCATTACAGAAAGATAACCTCAAAACTGCCACTTCCAAAGAGATTACATCTTGAAGAACCAACACTGGACACATACTAACAATATTAATTAATCCCACTAAATGCTAACTGCTTGAAAAAAGATGAAAGGATGATGAATATGGATCCTTGGTGGTATTAAGACTTGGAAGTCAGAAAAAAAAAAATTGAGCAAATATGCACTCTGCTACTTCCAAGATTTATCTTCACAGTTCACTTAAACTCTACTGCTTCCTGCTCTCAAAAAAGATGACAGCAAGAACTCATAGAACTGTCTTAACAGCATCACTTATGGCCTCTATACAAAGGAGGCACTTAATAAATTATAACAAGTATTGTTACTGAGAGGTTGAAGGTAACACAAATTTACTTACAACATAAGTCCTTTCTCAATGCTAGGAAGGAAATGCAAAACCATCAAACAACTTGGACCTTCTCTGTAACATGATCCCACATGCACTTAAAGACAGGTGTTGTGAAGGAGATGTTCTGCAAAGTACTCCAGATAATGATTAGGTTTGGAGTTAGATTATTTTAGGGTCATCTAATATTTAAGATTGACCAAAAACCTCACACATATTTATCTGGAACTGTGGAAGTTTTGCATTTTATCATCCCACTGTTACAGTCAGTTCTCTATATACATGCAAATTATTTACATTTCACCATAGCAAAATTCACTTATTAACAGTAATATAAACTACTCCATGACCTATATTTTGTTTTATTATTTAATATTTAAGCATTCCCTCCATTTAGTTTATACATCCTTTCCAGAGCCCCTTGAAACTGAACAACTAAACAAAACTTGTCTCACTCTGAAAAAAAAATCTAAATCAGTAACTACATCAGAATATGTCTACTTGCAGCATGAAAGGGATTATAGGATGGATCAGAGGGGACACAGAAAAGTAACTAGAGAGCTTCTCATTTCTTCTGAGTCACATTTTTACAGTGTGGATTTATTTCATGTATAACCAATTACCAGATTACCAGACACACCCATATTCAAATGCAAATAAAGAAATATAACAAAGCTATGTATAAACTGGTTTGGATTATATATTTTTCTGCTTTCTTTTAGAAGTACAAATGACAGCAAATTGACTATTTTGTTATAATCTGCTTCCTTAAACTTACTATCCTTATTTGTCTACCTACTATCAGCATAGGATCTATATATACTTGGACCTTCACACCTCAAACTAATTTCTAAATGCAACACATTCTGGACGTCATGGCCTGACCTCCACCTTCTTTGATAACTTCTCCTCCACAAAGAGATTCTGGCACAGCAGCCTTAAGTCCAGTTCAACATGCCCTATAACATCCAACCACATGCCTATGCTCAGGCTATTCCCTTCACCTAGAAAACTAGCCCCCCTACCCTCAATTTACCTGTTAAAATATTTTAAGGCCCAGATGGAATATTATCAGCTCTACACTCATTCATAACTCTCCAGCCAAAAATTAACATCTTTCACAAACACACCTCATGCTTCTTTGCACCTCTAATAAATCCCACAGGAATCTTGTCCTGAATTATTTTTGTTCATGTCTGCTTCTCCCTAGAGGGCAAATACTGGGTCTCATTCATGTTCACATTCTACCCACTGTTCCATTCTCATTACATAGTAAAGGTCCAGGTTGGATTAAACCATTCCTTGATTCTAAGTCCTTTATTTGGAAGATTTTGTTAACATATTATGAATGCTTGTGAATTTAATAATGAAAATATCTGTAAGTATATAATGCATAATTTTAAGCTGATGAATGGCTGAGGTCAATGAGTACAGTAAATCCTCAGTAAAGATAATTTCTCAAGACTCCCCCCTAAGAAGTCTCATTCATATCAACATTAAAATTAACTTTTCTCTCCCCCTTTCTAATTTAAACTACTTCTACATGATGTATATCCAGAAATGCAAGCTAACTTAAAGCAGAAGTATCTGTACATTCTGCTAAGAATCTATGCCAAAGCCACGCAATGTATTTGATAGTGTCCTTCATCCAGGGCCCATAAATATAATTTTCATCTTTTGTACAATTATAAAGGCTAACATATACAAAATATGAAGATAATTTATCTATGCTCAGGATATAGCTGATGCAAAGTTTGGAAATAATTATAAAGTGCAGTAAGCACATCTACAAAAGAAGGAAATAGAGAAAGACTGTCACAAACCAAATGATTTTTTGATGGAAATTTTTTTTCTTAAACTGCTGTTACATCTAATTCTAAATTATTCTTTTAATTTTGTAGTATTTTTCTTCAAGTTTATTTACCTACAAGGAAAGCCAATATTCTTCACAGAAAGATACAAAACTTTAAAAAGTAAGGTTTTTTTAATTTTAAAACATCTCCCATCTAATATATAGATCAACATCTCTTACTCTATGTGGGCAATCAGCATTTGTATCAGAAGAAGTAACTTAAAAAGTACAAACTAATAAAAATAGGTAAGCCTTCAGTTTTCTAGTTTTTAAAGCAGACTAGAAGTTCTAACACAGAAGGTTTAAGAGACCAGTGACTGACCAGTCTAAGTACTGGTCACAACACAGTTAAAACTAATTCACAGTGTAGCAACAGTAGCTATCTCCCACACAGACTAACTCTCTCTCCCACTTGAACTTTTCCTCCTTGTTTGAAACACGAGGTGGGAGAAACTCTAATGATCATGCCACAGGCCTATCTCCCCGCTTCCCCCACGAGCACACACATCTCCATCACCACTCTGGGGAAATGAAATGTGGGGGCTGCGGACCAAGAGAACCGACGCTTCTATGTGTCACTTCCCCTGCATGTGGCAAACAAACAAACCGGCACCGTAACAGTAACCCTCACAGCAATTTTGTTACCTCCGAATAATGCTGTGATTAAGTTTCGAGCTAAGTCAAAGCTCTATCAAATAAGCAAATCCCTGCCCCCCCCCGCCCCTTAAAACAAACACTCCAACGGGAAGTTTATTCCTGAACTGAATGCTGGCCCCAGTCACCTCCTTCCAGCAGACCTATGCCTCCTTCCTGCCCAAAGCCCCTACTACGAAGGTAATTGTCTAGACACAATCAAGGAGGGAAATGGGCTGCACTCTTCACCTCAAAACCCTCCTGAACGCAGCCCTCGCCTTTGCCCAGCTCGCCCACCTCCCTCGCGTTCCCATTCGCGCCGCACCTCTCGGGCAACTTTTGCACCCAGCCCCGCTCGGCGTCCGCGGCCCCTCCAGTCCCCCGAGCCCTCCGCGCCCTCTACCTCAGATCGCGGCCCCTCCTGCCCCTCGAGCCCTCGAGCCCTCGGCGCCCTCTACCTCCGACCGCGGCTCCCTCCGAGCCGCCAGCCCGGGTCCTCGCCCGCCCCTCCCCCGAGAACGCCGCCCCCGCCGCACCCCACCCCACCCCACCCAGCCCGGGACCCCAGCCCACCCAGCCCCACCCGGGAAGGAGGTAGCCGCGGCCGCGCTCAGCCTGCCGCTGGGCCGGGGCCGGCCGGACGAGCACCGACGCGCAGGGGGGTTTTACCTCTGAGGCGCGGTCGCCAGCAGCGGGTCGGTCCCGGGCGCGGGCGGCGCCCCCAGGTCCGTCAGTCAGCGGCGGCGGGGGCAGCAGCGGCGGCACCACATCACACGCGCCGGCGGCCGGAGCAGCACTGCGAGCCACGCAGGGAGGGAGCGAGCGAGGTAGGGGGAAAGGAACGAGTGAGGGAGGTAACGCAGCTCGGATCGGACTGGGTCCCCGCACTACTGCCGGTGCCTCCTACCGCCACCGCTGGCCGGAGAGTCGCCGCCCGAGCCGCTGCTGTCGCCACCGATGCAGCCGGGAATGAATGCACAGCGGTGCCTCGCTTATCCGGAGGTCAAACATCCTTCTGCCTCGGGCATCCGGATCGACGCCGGACCCGGAAGTGAACACATGGAAAAAAAATAGAAAAGGAAAGCGTCTCTCTAGTGGCGGCGGGCCCCCAGCCGCCCGCATCGGCGAAAAGAGCCGAGTGGGGCCGAAGGTTACAGCGACTTGCTCGGATTGGTCAGATTGCCGACCGGAAAAAAGGCAGCGTGCTCATTGGCTAGCAAAGCACGTAAATACCAAGCCACGCCCTTCCCCACCTTAGTGCTAGCAGTGAGTGGGAGAGTGCGGAGTGTGTGTGGATGCAAGTATGTTCTCTGGTGGAGACCGCGGAAGAAGAGGCTTAGCAAGGTCCACAGTGAGAACGGGAAGAAAATGCTCCCGTGGTTTAGGAGCGCTACTAAGAATTAAGGGAGCAAAGATCGTTAAGAGTGCGGTTGGACCAAGTCAAGGTGCTGAGGCTTTCCCTATTGTGCTGAGCATAGCCCTCCAGGTTCTGAAAAATCTCAGGGCCTGTCTCGAGGGTATGACATCACTGGATTGACATTCACCCCCCGACTCCCGCTTTCTAACCCCAGTGTTACATCAGGGATTCTTGGTTCCAACTTCTTGGAAATATGAATTGTGGCTCGTATTTGCATCTCCTTTTCTGTCTATGAAGAATTCTGCTTGTGGGCTCAAGTAATCCTCTGAACTAAATAGTGTGACAGATACTATCTTCAGTTTTTCAAATGAAACTCCTGAAGTTCCCAGAAGCTGAACATCACTCACGTCATCAAGTTGTAGAACACAAACTGGAATTGATGTTTTCTGACTTTTCTTTCCAGTACACTCTGCCCAGATAGAAAGAGCAGATTACAATTTTTCCTCTGTCCCTCTTGCGGTTGGTTAACCACAATGGAGATAAGTCATTTTGGAAGACCTCTATGGAAATTGACCCACCATGAAGGCAATGTAGAGGATTCCGAAACTATAAATCTGTAATTGTTATTTTTAATATTACTTATGTCCAAAGTCTTTTCAAAAGTTAGGCATTACAGTGTGCATAAAGAAAAACTATAGGGACGGCCCCTGTGGCTCAGTGGGTAGGGCGCCGGCCCCATATACCAGGGGTGACAGGTTCGAACCCAGCCCTGGCCAAACTGCAACAAAAAATAGCCAGGCGTTGTGTCGGGCGCCTGTAGGCCCAGCTACTCGGGAAGCTGAGGCAAGAGAATCTCCTAAGCCCAGGAGTTGGAGGTTGCTGTGAGCTGTGACACCACAGCATTCTACCAAGGGCAACAAAGTGAAACTGTCTCAAAAAGAAAAACTATAACTTAATGCTATTTTCGAATGTTCATTGTTATCAAACATTTTTATATTCTTGATATACTCACTATTATCAAGAAACTTGTATATCTCTATCAGTTCCTCTTTCTGTCTGTCACTCAAAACTTAAAAGACTCAAATGAAATGATTGCACTTTAACTTTATTCAGAATTTACCTGATTCTCCTCCTTACCTTGCCAGACTGAAGGTAAGGCTAAGGTGTTACCTTCAGAGGAGTATTTATGTGGAAAGATGGGGTTCTTGTTTTTGTTTTATAATACAACAGTGCCTTTTTAACTCACTTCTCATGCTCTTCCCCAAACTGGAGGTTAAGGCATGGCATCACCAGTCTTAGAGCAGAGATAAGAGCACTGCTTTGCACTTGCCACACCATCCTTCTCTAAGAGACTCAGAAGCAGTTCAGATTTATGCATGCTCATACATGTGAATAACTTGCCTCCTAGACATGTCTCAAAATTTCTCATTAGTACCTAATCGATACTAGACAAGAAACAAAGTTAACCCTAACTCACTAAATGGAAGAGAAATACCTGCAAACAATATTGTCCTCAACTCTCAACAAATATACTTTCTGGCTCAAAAAAACTCAGTACAGATAAAGAACAGCAACCCATCTAAGTATTAATAAACATTTAAGAATTACAAGTATCTAAGCATATGATCAACTCACCTTTTAAAATTAGAAATAAAAGGGAAAAAATGTTTACTTTTTTAATACATCAGTAAAGATTTTTTTTGTTCAGATTTGGCCTAGAAATTTCTATAGATTAAAATTGGCAAAACCAGATGCAGTGGCATATGCCTATAGTCCCACCTACCTGGAGGCTTACCCAAGAGAATCTCTTGAGCCCAGGAGGTAGAGTCAATCTAGGCCTTGTAGCAAGACTCCATCTCCAAAAAAAAAAAAGTGGCAAACAATGTAGGCAGGAACCAATGAAATTTTCAGGTCCTTCTCTTAACTTAGTAAGAAAAAAAGATGGCAATTTGAAAATAGCTTAGACTAATGAAAAAAAAAAGCCAACCCCCAAGCATCTTGATCAACTCTTTATTTTATAGCAAGATATTTCAACATAAGCAGACAGATCATAATTTTTCATCAGTGATATTATAGTAAGTTTATTTCTCGCATCATCTTATTTTTCCTAGCACTGCCATTCTTCAGTATTTAATTTCTATTAATTTTTTTTATGATTAGAGCATAAATTTATGCATTAGTACTGTCACAAGATCCTAGTACAGTGGAAACTTTAATGTATCAAATTTCTCTTTTGCCAAAAGCTTCTTTTCATGTCTTACACTTTGTTTGAGATTGAGAATGGAACACAGATTTTGTGGAAAATAAAGCTGGTCCTTTTCCTTTCTTTGTAAGCAGTAAAACTTCAAGTGGGAAAAAGACTGACATAAAACAATTTGATCTGGGTTTTAAACGAGAAATTATGAAATTAATATGCTTACTAAAACTTTTCAAAATAAAAACAGATGAAACCTTGGTTTATTTCTTCCAAATGTTTTCTTTAGTGGTAGTATAAACTTAGAATAGTGATACACTGGATGACATAGGGTAAAGCCTGAAGCATTACAAACTATACTTAATTCTTTATTTTTCAATATTATTTTTAAGCTAAAGTACCTGAAGGAAAGATAGAATTAAGAAAAAGTAAATGGTGAAGTAGAAAACGGAAGGATATATAATAAGACATGGTAACAGTAGCCGGGCTGGCTGCAGAGCCGCATATTTTTCTAAGACCAGGAAAATAACTTCTTCTCCAGTCAAGCCTACAGTCAAGGGGGAGAGTCAGGAAGGATTCTGGAGAAAAGCCAATCACATACAGCAGCGAGATCGGGTTTGTGAGAAACTATCATTTAGCAACCTTTCTTTCAGATTGTTAGATGAGTACATCTAGAGTCAAGAATCTGGTTTCTACTGACCTTAGAAGAGTGATTTTAAGTATTTTGTAAATGGAAAATAAATGTGCAAGAGTCACAAAACTTTTCTGAAAGACTTTACTATATTGAATAATAATAATGTTTAACTGCAGAAACGTTTCATGATGTCATATTATTTAGGCCTCCTGGTCTCGAGAGCTCTGGATTAGAGGTAGACGTCAAGGTGTCCACTCCCCTATCCTCTGATGTTTTCCCGATCTATAGCACTGGATTTCTCCTTTGCTTTCCTTTCACAATAGAAACTGTAGCCTTCCTCAAACCCCTGTTCAATGTGAAGAAGGTTTAAGCTTCACTGGGAAAGTTTTCAGTACTCCCGGTTCTGACTAGATCATGACGTAGTGTCCTGTCATAATGAATTATCCTCAAATGCTAACCTTCTGCAAACATCACCCTCAGACTAGGATCACTACATCCCTCCGCTGAAGAGGACTACACTGGTGCCAAAGCTTGTCTGTGCCATGTCTGAACTTCTAGTGCCCTTTGGACAGTGAACAGGGGTCTGCCTTGTGGTGGTCAGTCCTTTTGTCTAGTCATGGATCTTTGGTCTCTATCATAGTTGGTCATGTCTGATCTTAACTTCATCCTTCTCTTCACCGGCTCTTACTAAATGCCTGACATGTATTCAACCTCCCACCTACTATTAAGGTATTGATGCCATTTCTGACTGTACAAAATCACAAAGTTAAAGTTGATGTGAGAAGTTTCACTAAGTTTCACCTTAGTTATAAAACCCTTGTGTCCATTTAGTTCTCATTCTACTTTTACTATAATTAGGATTATACCACCTTCAATTTCCTTCTGTATTCCTTGCAACAAGCTATTTAAGTACGTGGGTCGTTACAAAAGTTCTGCTATACTTTGCGCCTCAGCGCATCTGTAAAATGAGACAGTACTATCCATAGCATATTGATAACAGAAGGATTAAATGCAGCAATAGATCTGCAATGTACCCACCACGGGGCCTGGCATATAGTAAGTACTAAGTAAATGACTGTTATAAGATACCACACGGCCCCTAGGAACCTACATTCTCTAATCTAACATGAACAGTAATCAGAAGCTGAAAATATCCAATTCCAAGCTGGGTCCTAGCATTAAGGGTCTAAAAATAAAACTGGATTTGTGGTCCTGAGGAAAACATTATTTGAAATTGCTCTGAGCCCTTTTCTTTTTTCTTTTTTCTTTTTTACTAAGTATACATGGACATTTATGGTAATTGGCTGCCCAATTTAAATTGCTCTCAGATTTTCTTTTGGTGGATTTTCTCTATCTCCCTTTTTTCAGTGGCCAGAAGCTCTGTCTTCCAGTAGATGTGATACCAGGTGGGAGTCATTTTGCCTAAGCAACGCCAATTGGTTGCTCTCTCCCTAGATTTGAATCTTAATCCGAGGCACACGGAAACTGAAAATGATGAGAATGGACTCCATCCCCAGACCAGAACCCTGACTGCTCAGTTCCTGACAGAGAGCAGTGGCTGTGACCCTACTTCCAGCCTCCCAAGCATTCTGGAGTCTGCCTAGACCAGGTGTCCCAGCTTCTGTAGATTCTGGGAGACCTCCCCAATTCTTTCACTAAGTTCTGTTTTACTTGCATTACTGAGTATATTTCGATTGTTTGCAGCTGAAAAATCCTGATCACTAGCTTTTCATTCCTGGCTTTGATTATTATTATTATTGCTCACCTCTCTCTCTCTTACAAGTATGCTTCTCTTGCACAGTCTGCCCCTGTGTCCACTGAGTTCAAAGCTGTTGTTCACCCCTGCTCCATTTCTTTGGCTTC